TACCTCTCGCCAATTCCCTCTTGAGGTGATGCACCAGTTGTCCATTGAAAATCTTGCGGATGCAAGGTGTCTCAACGGGCTCCTCCAAAACACAGTTTAGATGGATGACATCTCTCAAAACACACTGCCACTGAGAAAAGCTGTGCGCCGCTCGCACATCAAAGGCTTCACCATCGCAACTTTCCAAATATTCTTTCCATGAGCCGTCCTCTAGTTTAACACAACTGCAGAGTATAGCGCTAAGATGGTTGGGTTCCAATTTTGAGTAAGCGTTTCTGGCCCAAAAACGAAGTGACGCTGCAACCAACTTTAACTCCGCCGGCAATGACTTGATGTTGGTTGTGTTTGAGTCAAGCGCGTCTAAGAACAACGCTAACTTCTTATCCGGATCAAGGCATGGTATCTCATTCAAACATGGTACGTTTTCACCATCGGTGGGTGAGATACTTGAAGGCTTGACCTGATCACCCACTCTGTCCCATTCTTGAACCATCGTGCTTTTCCCGCCAGGCAATGGGGCACCGTTTAAAATTCCATAGATATATCTTCTCAAAGACTGGGAGCAGTGATTTGCCGACGTTTCTTGCAAATTTTCCACTTGAAATTTAAGCAAGACTTTCCCTGACACCAGACTGCTCATGCAACTGGTGGAAAACCTTCCATCGCGGAACCTGCGCAAAACCCACTCTTCAATTTCTTGGTTGTTTTGAGTTTTAAGAGAGCTTGAGATATCATTGCCTTGAAAATATCCCACCAAATGCTTTTCTCTTTCTCTGATCGTGTATTCTTGGAGGGAAATCTCGATAGCTCGTCTTAATTCATTCTTACTTCTGTCCTGAGGAACACGTCGTATTGCAAATTCAATCGCCTCTTTTTCTGTGGATGTAGGTGCTTTTTTAAGAAGTTTCGCAATGGCTCGGAACTTTTCTTCTTTTTTACTTCCAGAAGTGCCCTGCAGCCGCAAATTCTCATGAAATGGCTTTAGTAGCTCCAAGTTTACGTAATCATTTCGCACCAGGGAGGCAAATAGAGGAAGCAATTCTGACAGAATTCCAAAATACTCTGCCAATTGTCTGCGATAGAAAATGCGGGCTGTTGAGGGACACCTCTGCCACTTGAAAGAGGAGAGTGGAATAAAACCACCTTCAATATCGAAGATAAAGAAGTCGCTGTCGTTGCTTAGAACAGGGCATTTCAAAGCATTAGCCAAAGACGCGATTTTAGAATCCGCTTCACTAGAAAAAGAGAAGGAGACTGAATGTGACCTTTAAATATTGATCATGTTAACTGTTATATAATTCATTAAACCACGTGGTCATTAAAATAAGCAAATTATCGTAAGCTGTTCGTGAGGAGTAGTAGCGTCGCCTCCTTTTCACATCACACACACGCACACGCACACGCACACGCACACGCACACGCACACACACACGAATGACCGTTTATCAGTAAAAATAATTGCCTTCTTCGAATTAGAATATAGGCAGCTTGCCGCCCTCTTTTTCTCCGACCCGTATGAGCGCCATTGATTTAAATACAGACAAAAGCGAATATGAAACGAAGATTGTTTTGACTCAAATTATAATTTCAAATAGCTTGAAAAAAAGTTCCAGCTCGATCTTTTCGCGTAAGGAATATCTTCAAACGTCGTCGTGATCCCTTCGGCCAAAATCGGAGGCAAAATGAAATCTCTGACTATCTCCCTTTCGTAGTTATAACTTCCCTGGCTTACGCCGTCTTTTTTTTTTTTACAAGTGTTTCATATGATGAACCATAGCAGGTAACTGAATATAAACAACATTAACGGATGCTTTGGACGATATCCATTCATGACGTGTCTTCTAAATTAAAGTGTTCAAAGTAGAATAACTCTGATTATATGTTATCTATTTCATGTTTTTTCTCAACTTACCAGTCAGAGACAGCGAATTTTACGCCAAGATCCCTGAGTGCTCGCGTAAACACAAAATTCAACAAAAGAGGGTACACGAAGACATCCTTATTTGCTGCTGCTGGGTTCTTTGCAAGCATATCAGCTGTCTGAATTTTCTCTTTTGACCTCTTTTTGTAGGTGTCCAATTTATTATCGCTGATATTTGCGCCATCCAGGACTACGAATGATTCTACATCCACAGAACGGAGAGATCGAAAGAAAGACATTATTATGTTGTAGAATTCCTCATATTGCCCTCCACGTCGTCGATCGAAGCCATTGTCTGCGTAGAGAGAGTTGCATAAAGCTGATCCATCTATGACGAGCTGTTTCTCTCGTAGTTCGATCGTTGTCCAAATCTCTTCGATTGGTTTGAGGAAACTAAAGAGTCCAAAAACGCCCATTACTTTGATGAAAAACTTAAGACGCGTCGTTAACAAAAATTGGCATCCCTTCGAAGGGCCTGAAAACGAGGTTGAGGGTGGCGTCTGAAAGTTTTGACAGGTATATCAACAATAATAACGTCATAACTTGAGTTTGTATTCATTTTGTTTTGCTTGGGACACTTAGGTTCATGCAGATAAAGGAGACGTAATTCAGGAGACTCGAGTTTCGCAATTTGTTAGGAAATCGTGCTAAGAGGAAGTAATTTTTAGATCAAAGTCCAGATGATGGAATATTCGCGAACATTAGGCCATTTTCGAATTACCTTTGGTCTCATTTTCAAAGCGAGTCCTGGTGCTCATTCTACCATATGATTATAAGTTTTCATTCACGTGCAGACTAAATTCATATTCATACGAATGGTTGAGCATCAGGGGCTAAAGATAATTCGGAAATGACTTTTTATACTGTAAACGTGAGATAAGAAAGGAACTGTAGAATCCTGGAGCTACGTAGGCACTCTAATTCATCAAGGAACTTCAGCGGTGTTCGTGCTGATGAGAAAATCATTTAAAGATTGGCTAACATATAACAGCATAAACTGAAAAGAAAAATCCCAGTCCCTCACTAACTCGAGATATTTAACAACGCTAATGTGGGTATCCATTCAACATATAATGTATTTAAAAGTAAACTGACGCAGGCACTGCAGCGAGTAAAAGCGGAATTATAACTCCTTACTTTTAATTTATCCGACCTAAGCTTCAGGGAATGAAATTATTATGCTAAAAATTCTCCAAATAATGTTTATGTAAATTAAATGTTATGATTGAAAAAGAATAAAAAGAAAACAAACTTTTTAAAAGGTAATGGTATGTCAAACATTTAAAACTAACGTTCACAAAAGTCAGAAAATCGTTATCTAATGTTAGTCGGTGCACGTTAGTATTTGGCACTTTCCGCTGACCATTCGTTTCTTCTTCTTTACCAGAGGAAAAGAGAATAGGTCGAAGATTCAAATTCTTTCCTTTCGTTTTTTGAGCTAGAGGCAGAACAGGAACATTGAAGAATATTCCCCTGTGATTTTTGGAGGGCATCTGACTGTAATTTTAGTTTGGTTTCCCTTTGTCAATCAACCATCGGATCTTAAGACGGCAGTGGCGCTGTGCTTAAGTTCCAAGAAGCTGTCGGCGCTGCCCTCTTGGGTGGTGATACCTCTCTTGTTGGCCGGAAGGTCACGTCTTAGGAATTTTTCTCGTGCCGTTTTTCTTCTGTGGTTCATAAACGTAAGCTTTGCATCCTGACGGCAACATCGCCTGCAAACAGAACCATTTGTACACTCGCAATGAGCTGGTAATTATTTTATATGTTGCGGTTTTTTCAATTAATGATGCGTTTGTAAACTGAATTCATGCACCTTTGAAGGAGAGAGGGTTACTCCCTACCGATGAGACTAACATGAAACTAAACAGAAGTTTACATGCCTCTAACAGAAGAGGTAGTCTTTTTTTGGATTGCGAATGGCCATAAAAATGAAATTCTTACTTAAAGAATGATAGAAATAACACGAAGCTTTTTTCAACGTGCCTTTACCTTCCTGGTCTGTAATAGCAGTGTAAAGCTCTTTATATCGCGAAAGAACACTTGGAGAACAAAGTAAGGATTCTGGCGTACGACCTGACGGAGAGAAGGAAAACAAGTATGATTTTCACCAATTTTTGCTACTCTATTCTATTCGATGGCAGAAGCGAGAAAATAAAAGAAAATTTAGTTTTTCACTGCGCAATTTTCTGAGCCACAGAGTTTCTTAAATTCATTCTGATACAAACTTTGGAAACTATAAATCCTCGTTGTTGTGTATTGTACCAGGATTTTACCTAACACCATGAGGAAACAAAACACGTATTCTCCTGGTTACACTTAAATCATTTTCTCAGTGTTATCGATCATCCTCATTAGTGCTCATTCCGCTGTATGACTTTCGCGTTTAGGAGGGACTTGGTTGTACTGGGAACAAAACTGAATATGGCAATTAAGACAAGGAATATGTAGGGTTTGGCTTCCGTGCAGCGTCTTAGTCAGTGTTCTAAGTCCAAATTTTGCTGATGTAAAATTTATATGAAATGGAATCCAAGGATCAGGAGATCTAAAGAGGACCTTGACTTTCAGTAGCGCCTCTCGAGGACAACATTCTTTTAAAAAAAAGGGGCCAATTTGGCTTCGTGGGTTTTCAACATAAAGATAGAAAACGAAGGAATCGAAATCGAGGGTTGGCTGACAAATACTAACCTCTATTAAGTATTGGTTGATTTTCAGACTTACCTTGTTGCAAACTTTCAAGCAGTTTTTGTGCCATTTTTCCATTGAACGTCTTATGAATACATGGTACAGGTACAGGCTCAAGCAAATTAAAGTTTAGATGAATTGCATCTCTCAGAACACACTGCCACTGAGCAAAGCTTTGCACCGCTCGTATGTCAAACGGCCATAAGGAGCGGTAAGGGCTTACAGTGGCTTCTTTACCATTGTACAACTCGCCTTTCTCCAAGTTTACACAACAACACAGTAAAGCGATCAGATGGTTTGTCTCCAAGGGTGGATGCGCGTATTTTATGAGGTAACGAAGTGATGCGGCAATCAAAATAAACCTTTTACCTAAGAACCTGACAGCTGTGGTATCCGAATCGAGTGCAAACAACAAAAAATTTACACGCTCTCCGAGATCGAGGTACGGGATTAGGCTCAAAGAAGGGACCACGCCTTCTTGGTAGGGTTTTACAATTGATTGTTGGACACTTAAGCCCTCTCTGTCCCATTCTTGGATCACCTTTATATTTCCTTCTGCTTTTGTTTCAGCATCGTTCAAAATTCCATACACGCATCTCCTTAACCGCTTAGAGCAACAGTTCGCCGATATTTCTCTACAATTTTCAACGGGAATTTCCAGGAACAGTTTCCCCGATGTCAAACTGCTGATGCATTTGGAGGAAAACTTTCCATTTCGGAACCTGCGCAAGACCCACTGATTGATCTCGCGATTGCTCTGCGTTCTAAGGGAGCTAGAGACTATGTCGTCTTGGAAATAGCCCGATAGATTCGACTCTGAAAGTGTGTATTCCTGGAGAGAAAGTTCAACAGCTTGTCTAAGTTGTTCTCTGTTTTCAGCTGACTTCATTATTTTCAAGGCACATTTCAAAGCCTCTTCCTCGTTTGAGTCGCGAAGTTTGGATAGCATGTTCGCAATGCTTTCAAATCTAATATGGTTGAAAGTCTGAAAACCATTCAACGCACGATTAAACGTAGATGATAAATCACGACTCACGTAGTCATTTCCTGCCAACGAAGCCCATAAGGGAATTAATTCTGCACGAATTCGGTGGTGCGACGCCAGTTTTTGCCGATAGAAAACCCTCGCTGTCAAAGAACTGGAATTCCATTCCAAGAATTCAAAAGGAATGTACCCAGCTTTGATGTCAAAGATAAAGAAGTCACTGTCATTGCTAAGAACTGGACAATTCCACCCATAAGCCAACGAGGCAATTTCTGTGTCGGCTTCGCTGTTGTGAAAAAAAAAGGAAGTGAGGTTAGATGTATATCTTTTAGGGCGAGCCAAGAGCTGGAGAAGTAATATCTACCAAGCCTCTTCTAGCGTCCCTTTCACATGTACGTGATTTTTCATTTGAAAAGAAATCTCATCCAAAAATAAGAAAAAGACCTACATAGGGGGCTTTAGTCTCCTAACGTAACAGTATATTTAACTTGTTATGTGACTTGAAAAATCGTGCAGCCCAATTAAGTTTCTACAAAATTGTTACTGTAGTTTCCTTCATAACAATGACCGTGTTTTGTCCAGTCGAAGGTTATATTTTGCTGTTGTTTCGATATGATCAAAAGCCTCTATGGTGGAGTCATTAAGAGACACTATACGGGCTACTTCTCTTCATATCATTTTGAATGCACATTATTACAAATAAACCACTCCTACCAGTCACTGAAAACGAATTTTACGCCGCGATTCCTGAGTGCGTCCACGAACACGTTCATCGCCAAAAGCGGAAGTAAAAAATCATCAGCGGACATCGACAGAGCATTTGATTTTCTAACCCTCTCGTTGGTTCGTGCTATACGTGTCTCTAATTTCTTGTCGCTTGGATCATGTGCTCCATCGAATACAACATAGGCCTCCACGCCGTTCGAAACCAGAGCATCGAAAAACGAAACTACAGCATCATAATATTCTTGGTACTGACCACCACATCGGCAGTCTAAGCCATTGCTATAGTAAAGATAATGGCACAGACAAGATCCATCGATGATAAGTTTTGTATTTTTAAGATTGATCTGTGTCCAAAGCGTTCCGATTGAGTTGATATAACTTGTAAGTCCGCGAACCCCCATGGCTAGATGCGAAGCCCCTTTTCCTCTATCAAATCATGATGTTCCAGGCGCATGAAATGCGAGTGATTTCTTGGGAGGGTGGGAGCCCAACTGTTGTAGTCCCTGTGTAAATCAATAGAACTGAATAGTCCTTGAACATTTTTATATGGATTTGAGAAAAGACCACAAAGATAATCTGTCTTAAATAGGTAATTTAAAAATTTTCTTCTTTCATCTGTCTTCTTGGTATTATCCACATTTTGCCCCTCCCTGGAAAGAAAGTAAAATCACCTTGAGCCAGTGACATAGAATCAGCGGCTAAATAGACGGTGACTTTCTCTAAACCAGCTCTTTTGCACGAAATTTCTTCCTCGTCCACGCCAAGAAGATAACGGCCGAAACAGAAGGTTCAAGTGAACCGGTTGTTTTAGCGACAGCAGGATATGATCATGCGATTAAGTTCTGGCAAGCACAGAGTGGAATATGCCTCCGCACTGTACAGCATCCAGACTCCGTATCCTTTGCATTTGTAAAATCTAGTTCATTGCAAACGACACAAAACGTTACACTTGCACGGTGTTTATCGAAGGAGAAAAAACCTGACGACCTGAAAAACTTGAGTGTACGAACGACCTAGAGTAGATAGGTTGAGAGGCCCGCAATGTATCTTGAAATTGTCTTCATTGCAACACCAACGCAATTCCATGAGACACAATCTCAAGTTTCTAATTAGATAACAGAAGATGTAACCAATCAACTCCCAAGAACGGATCGTTAGTATTCCACTTTAGCTGCTATACATTTCCTTGTAAACTAGCTCTGAGAATTTGGCGTCAAATCAAGATAGCAACTTTTACATGTACCTCATAAGTTTGAGTATCCCCACAACACTTTTTGCTGGATGATGAATGGATGTTAAAGAGATAATTTACTTGTTACATGCAATCACTTTTGGGAGTTAAAGGTCTAATTCATGTGGTAGTAAAGGTAACAAGATAATGTTTGTATCCTAAGCAGCTGAAGTCTCATGTTTTTCGAGCT